GCGGGGCCCCCCCGGGCCCGGCCGCTCCCCTGCGCCTGGCAGCAGGTCCTCAGGCCTCATCCCGCAAAGCTGGAGCAGTCTGTGTGCCAGGCGTGGCGAGCGGTGGGTGTGGGCCTCCCGGGGGCGCAGGGAGGGCGGGGCCAGCTCCCCAAAGGCGAGGGCCAGCAGGGGTTTTGTCCACACAGTGGTCCACCTCCATGCGGCACGGTCTGCCTCCCGACTCCAGGACACACCCCCTAAACTACGAGATTCTGAGCACGAGCCCGGCCTCTGGTCCAGCCCCCGGGGAGCAGCTGGAAGCGGCCGTTCCAGGTTCAGCTCCTGTGTGGGGGCACGTGGGAAATGGGGGAGCTGAGATGCCCCAAGTCGGGGAGCCCCCTCTGCTCTCTCGGGCCCGGGACAGAACTACGGGATTTGGACGCTGCCCCAGGGCCAGCTGAACGGACATTTTCTCTTTTATTTCCCACAAAATGGCTCCAGGAATACTAGAAGATCTAGGGGAGAGTAGGGTGACACCTTGGGCGAAGTTTTTAGAAAACACATCTCAGGGATTTGTTCTGTTCCCACAGCAAGGCTGTCTGCAGGCAGGGAGCGGGAGGGGCTGGCCTGTCCCAGGAAGCGGCTGTCCCACAGACCTGGCCTGCGACTCACTGCTAGCTCTGATGGCGGAGCTCCAGGGCACTGCGGGCAGGCCAGAAACCAGCGAGGCTGCTCCAAGGTTGGCCTCCCTCAGGGCCCACCCTCATTGGCTGTGCCTTCTTGCTCCCCACGCCCCAACGGCCCTGATGCGGACGCCAAGGCCAGCCCGTGAGGACAGTTACCTTGCTTCTCAGCACGAACACGGTGTTGATGTGGGACAGGATCCCGTGGAAGCTGATGTCGATGTGGGGACGGACCAGCGAGAAGACGGACAGAAGGCTGCAGGTCCCCGGCTGGAGCTGGGACGCAGCAGAGGAGCGTGTCAGCAGGCGCTGGGACCCGCGGTGCAGTAAACCGGCCCGGTCGTGTAATGGGGAATCACCGTTTTCCCTCAGGGACCTGCCCTCCAAGTGGACTCAGACCTTACTCTCAGCCCCGTGACTGAGGGGACGCCGTGCATGCATGAACACAGAGCCTGGCAAGGAGGCAGGTGACCAAGTACCAAGGGCCAGGCAGGCGCCCCGGGAAGGCGGGCATGCACCTGCTACCTGCAGGGCGCTGTGATTCCACAGCCCGAGTGAGGCAGGGGCACCTGGAGCCCGCTCGCCCTCTCCAAGCTGTCAGACAGTCACTGTCACTCCCGTGGCTGCCCACTGGGGCCAGGCCCACGCCAGGCATCCACACACTCACCACGCTCACGTCAGAGAACGGGGTCTGCCCCAGGGAGGGGCGGGCAGCGCAGGAGCCCAGGGGGCGAGGAATGCATCCAGCCAGGTGCCCACACTGGCCCCTGGGCTAGTTCTGACCAGCAGGCTCCCGAGTTACAGGCAATAGACCCTTGGCCCATGCCAGGAGCATGGAGGAGGGAGAGCCGACACGGGTGCATCCCAAGGTCAGGCCACCGAGGGCAGAGCCGCACCCAGCCGCCGTCCTTGTGCGCTCAGAGACCCCACCATAACCTCAGTCCTACCCCGTTTTCCATTTTCAATCCCTCCTTTTCCCTAAAAATGTCAACAGTTGGTTTTGAAACCCATTCTCAGGTAGCAGATGCCCAATGACTATTTAGTCAATGAATTAAATAAGTAAACACTGACTTAGAAAGTTCCCGCTTTCTCATCAAAGCAAGGACAGTATTCCACTGGGTATTCCTGTAGTCTCTGTGACGAAAACAGGACAACCGTCCCTGTCCCAGGGAGACTCAGCGAGTGCAAGGCCAGCCCAGCCCAGCTGCGTGCTCCCCGACCGGGGTCATGGGTCGCGGCATGCATAGCCATGCGCAGCGGCATCCACGGGTCGACCCAGGCCCGGGGAGGGGTGCGACTGCCTTACCTGGGGGAGTACTCTGTAAATGGCGTTGCCGCACTGCGTGACGACCAGGTCCCGGTCAAAGATGATGTGAAAAGGAAACGCTTTGCAGAAGGTGTGTGGGCTGATGCGTGACTCCTGGGTACCGTTTTCTTCAAACCTGTCAAGGTCTTCATAAAAATCCTCTTCTTTTGACTCTTTCTCTTCGATTAAAAACTGAGTGTGGTCACATTCTTCATTTCTTTGCTGAATTACCTTTGTCAAAAGGGGAAATGGTGTTCGAAACTGGGGTGCGTTTCAGTTTATTTAAAGCAAACGCCATAAAAACAGTGCTAAGGCTATGTCTGGAGGGCTGATTACTAAACTTTAATGGGTAGATGCAGATCCCATACGGGCGTAACACAGGGAGCACTTCCGGACAGCAGTGTGTGGAGTTTAAGACTGGCGAATGACTCTCAGTAAAATGGCGCACCGGGGGCCGATCCCCCGGAACCCGCGAAGGTTTGAGCCCCAGACCTGGCAGCTTGCTTCTCACTTTCCTTTCTCTTTGTCTCTCTCTGGTGAGTGTGTATGCCCTATAGCAAATTAAAAAATAATACTAATATTTTTTAAAAAGAGTATGTAGCATCAATAACAGCATAATTTTTAAACTTCTAGACACGGCTTCTTCACCAAAGGAACTTGATTAAAAAAAACAAAACTCATATCACAAATGAGACATTCCAACTGCATTTGGGGCAGGCGGCAAATTCCACCGAGAAGCAGAGATTGCAGCGTCACTTCTAATTTTAGCTCCTGGAATCTGACCACCCACATCGGGGTGCTCTGCAGCTGGAGCCCACTCAGCACAGCACGTACCCACTTCCCAGGGTGAGCGCTGCGGGAGGAGGGCGGCTTCTTCCCTGCCTCTCACCACGTCTAAGGAGAGACCTGCTTCCCCCTGAGCACTCCCTCGACAGCGCACCCCAGGCTGACGGAGGAGGCTGCGGGCATCCTGCTGGGTGCAGGGGCCGAGGCCGGGGACTACCTTCATGTCTATCTCGGTGCCGTGGATCTGCTGGGCGACGGTCTTGATGATCCCGATGACGATGTCCTGCAGCCCCTCCCTCTCCGAGTAGTAGTGCAGGATGAGGCCCCTGCCCTTCTCCGCGTCCGTGCACCGGAAGGACGGCGCTCGCATGCCAGGGTAGATGGTGGCCAGGTGGTCGTGCAGGGCATCGAGGTTCTGCCAGGGAGAGCAGCGTGTGAGCGTGGGCGGTTCCAACCCATGGAGGTGGGCTTCAGTCCGGCAAGCCCAGTGTGAGGCCGAGGGCCGAGAAGCGTCACGCAGACCCTCCTGCCCTGCCTCACGGAGAGGCCTGTGGGCAAGCCTGAGTGGAGCTGAGGCAGCAAGTGGAGACGTCACGTGGGGCTCTTAACAGCCGTGGGTGTCGAGGACGGATAAGCAGGGATGTGAGGAAGGGCCTGCGGCAGGAAGAACAGCCCCGTGGAGCAAAGGCACGGTCCTCGTGAGAGCTTGAGGGAAACATAGATGCTTACTGGGGCGGGGACGCCCACATGGCCACACATGCCCCTCTGACTGTGCGGCCCCCTGAAACCCAGCTTTTAATTCCAGAAACCACGCCAGCACCAGAAGCATACAAAATATAAGCACGCCATCTTGGAACTGAAGACACGCCTCAGAAACAAAGCAGGTGGGGCACCCCGCTCACCTGTGAAGTAGCATTCTGTGGGCTGAAGCCTCGAGAACCAGCACTGGCCAGAACCAGCTCCCCCTCGCAGCTCACCTCATCTAGAACGCCACCTTAACCAGCACCTTGTGCCAGGCACCGTCCATAACTCCTCCGTGAAAAGATGATCAGAAGTGGTTTAAACTGCACTCTACTCAGTCCAACGTGGTGTTCCAGGTAACACTTGGATCACAATGCGCATGTGTGCATGTGAGTGCATGTGCATGCTGCACAGTTCACACAGGACATGCACAGACACGGCACGGTACAGGAATGGAGCGCGGGCTGACCGGCACCAGGCAGGCTTGGTTTGAATCTCAGCCGTGCCCTTCTGCAGTACTGTGGACAGCTCACCCAACTTCCCGAAAGCCCCATTTCTCCCGACAAGGTGGAGGCAGCGGATCCCCCAGAGCGCCGAGCACACTGGGCGTGGCAGGAGGGCAATGGGGCCTGGAGTTACCCAGCCCGCAGCTGGCAGTGGCTGGAGCCTGCTGCGTGCACAAGAGCTGAGCGTGATGGCTGCGGGGCCACAGAGACAGGGCTGCAAGCCTGCTTCCCAGAAACTCAGGAGGCTAAAGCAGGAGAGTTGCCGGTTCGAAGCCAGCCTGGCTACAAGGTGAGCCTGTCTCTGAGAAAGCCCATGCCCCGGCCCTTGCCCCTGTGGCCGTGTGCAGGGGTGATGGTGGGTGTGCAGGGGTGCCCAGGGAGCTAGGCCAGAGCTGGAAACACCACCCTGGATGCCCCAGGGACTGCCACAGCCTGCCTACTGTAAGAACAGAGGCTAATGGTTAAAAATCACTTTTCATCTGAGTGCATTTACATTGCTAATAAATGTGCACCTTCACATTTAGACCACAACTGTTCACAGCATCATAGGGCCACAGAAGAGCTTCTTGGACGTGTGACAAAGTCTCAGTCCCATGCATGCTCAGACTGTCCGAGCACAGCTGCAGCCCAGAGTTCTAGGGCAGACTCCAACCACAGCGGACAGGTTCATATCTAGATGCAGCTTCGGGAGCAGGTACAGAAAAGAAGAGCTGAGGGACAGCTGGGAACTACATGGACGAGCCCGCAGAAGGTCCGCGAGGCCAGCCCCGTGGTCTGGTGCCTGAGGCAGTGGGCTCCCACGGACGACCCTGCAGTTCTGGTCAGGGCCCTGCCAGTGCATGTGCACCCAGAACCTTGAAAGGAGGGAGAGAGGGAGAAGAGGGTTACGGTGTGGCCACGCCCACAGGCATGTTTTTGTCTCCCCCTCTGTCTCTGTCCCTCTCGTATATGAAAAAAAAGTTCTGTCCAGAAAAATGGAATTAATGCATAAATTTGTTTTGATGCAAAAAGGTTTGAAGCTCACAGCCAGATTCTCCCTGGTGCACTGGGACGCGTGCCTTGCAGCACAAGCAGGTTCCCAGAAAACAGTGGCATAGCCCTTAAGGTGCTTCGCTCACCCTTGTAGCTTTCCACAATTAAGAAAGCAAGGAAGAGGTGGTGAGCAGTCCGTGAGCTTGCCCTGAGGTGCCCAAGGTGCCGGAGTCGGTACCACTGCTAGATGCTCTAATGCTATTTCTTTTTTCTACAAGCAAAACGAGCAGCCTTCTCCACTCGGGATTCCACCCAGTCACCAAGAACTTACTTTCCATAGAAGAAAAGTTAGTTCTGGCCCTCTGGGAAATGGCCCATTTAGATCCAGATTTACTGCACACCATAGACTCAGGAAACAAAGACAATTTTTTTGGAGAGGTTTTTGCTATAGAGTGCGTGCACTCACCAGAACGACAGAGAAAGACAGAAAGTGAGAAATCACCCCCCCATGGGGGATGGCCATGCCACAATCCCTTTCCCTCCATTCTTGGGTATGCACGCACACGTGCCTGGCTTGAGTTTAAGCCACTAGGTCTAAGACTGAAACAGTGGTCAGTTACATGGGAGTCCAGCAACATAGCCATTACATCAACTTCTGGTCCCAACAATTTATTTTCCTTGGAGAAATACTTTAAAGTTCCATATTTTAAAGATCTCAGAATGCTACAGAGTGAAGGGAAATTTTCTTTTTGAACTGTGCATGCCCAAAATAAGCTCATACATAATTTCAGAGACAAACTCTCCGGTAATCAACTCCTCAATGCCCCCAGGACATCTCATTACAAATCCCTAGGTCAGGTCACCTGTGTGTGCCCGAGATGTGGGTCAGCCAAAACAGGGCAGACCATGGATGAAGACCATGGGGGTGCAGCCTTTCCCTCTCTCTCTGCCTGTCTCCCTCTCTTTCTCTCATGAAAAAAATAAACATAAAAAAAATCCTAGATGATCCGCAGAAATGGGTACGATATAACCTCGCTTTGAAAGTTTTAAAGGAGGGTGGGTTTGGTCTGCAAGCTTTACTCTGCTGAGCCGTGACCAGAGTGTAGATCTGCAGGGACCTGAGCGTCCGCCAGGTAAGCTCCGCGAACACTGGCTAGGAAGGGGCCAGCACGGCACCCCTTGCCCTCGACCCCTCACTCCTGAAAAGGAGCCAGGCCGACACTGTCCAACGCGAATCTTGCCAGTTAAAACATTTTGCTAAGTTTTATGAGAAATAAGCCATTTTAGGCATTTGAAGATGAAACACTTAAACAAATATGACCTAAATAATGTGGAAAGCCAGAGCACAGATAACAGAAGCGCCAAAGTAAACAGCACACTGGTGAGAAAGGGCGTGCACAAGTCACCCTGAGCAAGCTTCCCTCCTCTCCTTCTCAGAGAGAGCCCCCTTCTGGGAAAGCTCGGGCACCGGCCTAAAGAACAGTGAGCCAGCTCGCCGGTGGTTGAAGGAGCAGGACCTCACATGGCTGACCACGGTTCGAATCCTGCCCCGGCGGTTGAGAGATAGGCTGGGTGCAGTGGTGCCCAAGATGCCAGTGGGATGAAGAGGTGGAGAAGATGGGGCTGAGGCAGACCAGCCCCTGCCTCTCGCTCTCTGGCAAGCGCATGCACCCTCTGGCAATTAAAAACAACACATGAGAATAGTTTTAGCATACATATATTTTTCATAAGTATCCTCTTAAGAGAAATTTTATTTCAGTTTTTTTTTAGTGTTTTGTGTTTTTTTTGTTTTTTGTTTGTTTGTTTTTGTTTTTTGCTTTTTGTTTTTTGTTTTTGTCTTTGCTGTAGGGCACATGGCTCACCAGGGAGAGAGAAATCACCCCCTGGGGGACAGACACACCACGATCCCTCCATCTTCTCTTGGGATTGTGGGCATGCATGCACATGTGTCCCGTGTGCTTTCTAAGCCATAAGTCCAGGGTTCAAACGACTTAGTAAAGTAAGACCCATTCACCCAACCTCAACTTGCTGAATCACACCACTTGCTGAATCTCAAGAGAAATATTTTAATTAAGAAAGTAAAATAATAAAATAAACTTGTGTGAAATATTTGACAACTTCTGCCACTTTTCTATGAAACGTTTTTTCCTTTATCCCTGACATAGCATGTGTGCATGGTGTGTGTACACATGAGAGAGGGAGGAAGGCCCCATGGGTCTGACTATGCTGCAGCAATTCCCTCCCCACTTCCCTGTCCCCCGGGTCCTGTGCACATACATGTGCTTGGCCTAGGCACATACGTATGCTCATTCTACTGCCCCCGAGCCAGGGCTGGCCCCAGCTGGCCCCATGGGGTGTGGCTTCCTCTTTTTCCTTTCCTTTTTTTTAATCTAGAAGGCATGTGTGCAGGCATGAGGGGGAGAGGACCCCATGGGACTGTGTTCCCTCCAGGTCCCCACCCCATCTGGCTCCTAGGCACGGAAGCCAGCAGGGCTGGACCTGACCCTGGGTGAGCCCAGGGGCATCTGTCCTCCTCTGCTAAGGGTTTAACTCTGTGCTAACCTCGACTGCTCTTACCCCCCAAACCCAGCCTACATCATACTGCAGTTGGCAAAAAGTATTTTGTAAAACCACCCAAATACATACCAGTCATCTAAAGGAAAACTGCAGGAGGAGCAGATGGCGTAATAGCTACATCACAGGACTCCCACATAGTCAGCCACTGTTCAAGTCCCAGACCCAGTGGCTTAAAACTCACGCCAGGCCCGTGTGCATGTGTGTCCGAGATCCCAAGAGGAGAATGGAGAAGAGTCTGTGGTGTGGCCATCCCCCTGGGGGTGATTTCTCACTTTCTGTCTCTTTCTGGTGAGCACACGTGTCTTATAGAAAAAAATCTCTTTAAAAAAAAGAAAAAAAAAAACTGCTACAATTCTAAAATACTCAATTTCCTTCACAAGTTTGTTTTTCTGTTTTTTGGGGTTTTTTAAATCCCATCTGTCAATTTTAAAATTGTGAGTTATAGAAATTGGCATTTGGGATCCTGAGAAAACGGTTCTTTTTGAAACACAAATGTTAAAAATGAAGTGAGTAGTGCATTTTTTCTAAGAAAAGTAAACAATTTAGGGAAGTATTAGGATTTTACATCTGTTCAGGAAAATCCCCAAATTTCCCAAAATAACCCTTTACAGAAACATTTACAAATGAGGTCAGTCTCAGCCCAGATCACTCCTGGAGGGCCGGCCAGAGCACAGTGCTGCATTTTATGAGCCAAAATCTGGAACTCACATGAACTGAAGAAAACCCCTCCATGGTCCGCACAGACGACAAGGAGCTCAGAAACACGGGCATGAGCTAGGGAGGGGCTGGAACCCACAGGTCGAGCCACTGAGCCATCCTCACCAACAGCGGGAGACTCTCACACGGACTCTCCACTGCGGCCCCACGGCACTCTGAACAAGCGTGACCTCACCAACCTGCCTGCATACAACTGCATTTCTGCCCCTTATCCTTCCAAAGTCGCCCTGGTAGCCTTTGATAACATGATCTACCCCAACCGTAAACCTGCCGCGAGCTTCGGGACATGCCATGCAGCAAGGACACGATACGCTGACCACGAACCCGTCCTCGGAGACGCGTGTGGTCTTGCGGAACCCGGGTTCTCACGTCTGACTCCCCATCCAAATGCCTCCAGACATGCTGTCACGGACACGCAGGTGAACACAGGACGCACCCAGCACTGCCCAGTGATCCACCCCCAGCTTCTGGGAAGACAGTCCCTGGGCCCGTCCTCCAGGTCCTGGTCCTGGACCAGTCAGTAAGCCCCACAGCAGGCAGGAGCCTGGCAAGCAGGCGCCACACTGTGGGCCCTTGGCCCTGCCGCCTGCCCTGCCAGGACCACAGAGCACCCAAAATCTCTTGGCGCTGCCACCTTCCCTGCCGGGAGCACAGAGCACCCGGAGCCCCTCGGTGCTGCCGCCTGCCCTGCCAGGAGCACAGAGCACCCAGAGCCACTCGGTGCACCCCCTGTGGGCCTCTCCTGCCTGTGCTTGTATCTCCAGAGGGGTGCTGTGGGGACAGTGGTTTCAGGAGCTCTTGCCTAAGAGGCTTTGACATGTCCCTCTGCCACTTGCCACTGGTCAGAAACCCCTGAGGCCAGCCTCGACAGGAGGCAGAGGGTCTCAGCCACAGTTCGACCCTGGACACAGTTACACCGGTGCGCACAGATGCGGTACCTCCGTAAAGGAACCGCCCAGCCTACCCCGTGTCTGCACAAACAACAAATACCCATTCATTACAATGGGACTTCTGTGCGTGCATGGCACAGCTGTGGGCACAGGTGTGAAGAGGTTCATGCTCCCTCCAGCAAGCAGGAAGGGTGACACAGCACACTACAGTGCTGGGGAGATGCAAGCCGTGAACACGAGAGGGGCTGGCCGGGGGCCTGGGGGCACAGGAGCCAGAGCCCATGGGCCCACACCATTAGAATCCCTGCCTGGCAGCTCGAGAGCCATGCCAGATACGCCGAGTCTGGCTGGCAGGATTGCAGTGTGATCACGGACCATTTCTGCTCTCTCCGGTGAGTGTGCGCACCATAGCAACTTTTACAGGGAGAGAGGGAGGGAGGGACAGAGATCTGGGGCAGGAGAGGCAGGAGTCTTCGAAACTGCTTTCAGATGAGGCTCAGCCCACCTACTGCTTAGGGAAGGGTTGACGTCAACCCCAAGAAATGCTTCAGTATTCCGTGCAAGGAGAATGTCATTTTTTTTATGTGCGAGCTAGGATCTTAAAATAATTTATGAGAATCGGTGGCTTTATTTTATAGTCACTTTTACAGAAAAATGTCCATTTAATTTCTATGTAACTAGCCTAATTATAACATGTATGTCTACTTTGAAGAAAAGGAGGGGTTTTTTTTCTTTTTTTTAATTTGCCAAAGGGTGTATGTACTCCCCAGAGACAGGAAGACAGAGAGTGGAAAAGTGAAAGCACCTCCATGGGGCATGGTCACACCCCAATCCTCTCTCCTCTTTCTCTAGCCTCTTCATATTTGGGGTACACATGCACACACACACACATACATACATGTCCAGTATGTTTTCAAGTTGCCAGGGACAGGACTTGAACCATGCAGTCGGTCATGTGGGTTCTGGCTCCCTTAATCCCTAGGCCATGGAGCCAGCCTTTAAAAAGACATATTTCAGCATTTTCAATTCAATATGCAATTTCAAAACCAGAGTGAAAATGAAACCTGGTCAAATATGTTTGATACTGACGAAAATGTGACACCATCTAACCTTGCAGTTTCCTCACTGTTCATACGCTCGCACCAAAAGAAAAATGAAATAAAGTTCTCTGTCATTCCAAGACATGGCAACTACATTTACCATATACCCCAATATATCCAAAATATGATCCTCTCAACACAGGCAGTGTCCCTGCGCTGTCCCACTGAGACCAACCGTGCATTCCACAGTGACACGCCTCATCATGCCTCGTCACATAGTGCCCGTGTGTTTGCACAGAGCGGCCGGGGCCACACACACATAGCAGGCTGATGGGCACTGCCCCGAGCCTGTCGCCCACATGCCAGCAGGTGGCAAGCTGGTGAGACACCCGATACACTTCGTTGTGTAGACATGACCACTGAGAGGTTAGGATTAGGATGGAGCAACTGAAAGTTGAAACTTCGCAGGTGCAGGGACAGTAGCCAACAGAAGAAACGCAATTTGTCTTCAAAAACTCAGAATCCACAAATACTTTAAGTATCAAACTGTAGCCGTTTAAAATGACCTGTTCAGACTCCACCTGTCAGCTGTCACTCAGGTATCCCCGGCAGCTGCCCGGCAGGACCCAGTGGGTCCCTCTGACATCGGTAGTTCAGCACGTCCAGGACAGGAGACTGCAAACCGGCTTCCACCTTGACTTAATGCTGGTTTAAGTTTACAAGAAACTGTCACTGTGTAAGCAGCTGGCGTGTTGATTAAACACTGCAGTCCTCACTCCAGCCAATAAGTCAACAGCATGGTTTACATTCTCTCGGAACTGGGCTTCGGTTCGGCCGGACGCTGACATCTCCAGCAGACCACATGTGGCAGGCACGCAGAAGCAGCCTTGCAAAGACCCACCTGGGGCTCACAAAGAGGGACTCCAAATGCCAGAGCTTAAAATAGCACAATCAGCCCGGAATCGCCTTGCCAAACCGTCATTTAGTGATGGAAGCTTGTAAGGTAAGGGTGGCAAGCATCCAGGGCCCCAAGACAAAGCCCTCTCCCGACATTCTCCTCCCTGAAACTGACTTTCGAAGGCTCCCTGAGCCCCAGCCTAAGGGGGAGGCAACACGTGACCCATGGTGACAGTGATGGTGACATTGTCGTCCTGGTGCGAGAACACCGGTGTTGGGCCCTGGTTCTCATGCAGGGAGTTCTGGACCGAACGCTGTGAATACAGAGCACTTCACAAAACTCGAAGTGTTTTCCAAGTAGGGAGTTCGTCCACACTGGATGTCTAAACCCGCAGCACTGCCATGCAGCCGTCAATAAGAGAATAAACAAGATGGGAAGACGTGAAGCGGCAGCAGACCTTGCAGAGCTTGTCAAAGAACATTAGTTTACAGCCTGACAGTCAGACAGCAGACGTCAAAGAAACAACACGGAGCTAGAACGTATTCAAGACCCTGCAACGGCTACGATGTTTTGGAACTGGGAAAAGGCTGCCATGAAGCAAGACAGTCAGGCCCTGCCGGACGGGCAGGGTATTGCAGAGCCCGTACTGAAGGACCGGGAACCCCGGGTCCAGCCACGGGACCCTGGAATTCTCACCTGCAGAAATTCTCTGACGTTGGATCCCAGGACACGCAGGATGGTGTCATAGCCAGATTCTTGACAAAAGACGAAAAACATCTTCCCGAACATCTGGAGAATTTCCCCAGCATTGAGATCTATTTTACAGGTTTGAGAGGAAAAGCAAAACCAAATTAGAGGAATATTATGCATGAGAAGAAAAAGGATAATTATATGCTAAGATGAATTAAAACGCCCTATGTTTTGTGCAGCACGGGTAATGGTTCTGGCCAGGACCATATGGCGACAACAGAGACCAGACATCAGCATGTTAGCGGTGTCAGTCCTCCCACAACAGGCTCCTCAGTTGTGAGCTTTTTCAAAGCACATAATCAATGTGTTATTCATTTCTTATGAAAAATAGAGAGGGCTTATTTAAATAGTCAGGAATGTATGTGCCCTAATACATTCATACAAAACAATTTTTGTAACAGTTTTTATATTTAATACATAATATTAATCCAATTACATGTAATATGTATCCTAATATCATGTCTTTTATTCAATCATTATTTTCTAAAATTTTACATTTTTTCTTTAATTTTTCTACACCAACTTTAACTGTCATCTCAGTCAACATATGGACTCAACCATGTATTCAGCTAACCCTTTCTCATGGAAAACACTGGCTTTTCCATGTGCTGATATGAGATTTCTAACACGAAGACACACACATTCTCTCACTGCCCTCGGGTGCACGTGCTCGCAGAGAGGAGACCGAGAGAGAGGTCAGAAATCACCCCCAGGAGGATGGCCATGCTACTACCTCTCCTCCTAGGACTTTGGAATACATACAAATTTCACGTAAAGACATAGTAATTTCTCTAGAAAAGAAATCCCAAAGGGTTTAAACACTTTTTTGTAAAACACTTTTTTTTTTTTTTAATTTTTGCCAGAGGGTACTGTGAGCTCACCAGAGAGAGAAACAGAAAGGGAAAAGGAGGAGGCCCCGCTCACAGGGAATGGCTATGCCTCAATGCCTCTCCTCCATGTCTTACTTTTTTGTGTTTCTTGGCATGCACATATATGCACCTAGCTTGTTCCCCAAGTCAGAGGGTTCAGGGCTTGAACCATGCAGTCAGCCATGCGGGATTCAGATACCTCAACCATGCCACAGGCTCGGCTCTGAACACTTTTTAAAGAGACTTTGACGATGAAAAAATCCTTCTTCAAAAAAGTTTTCTCAATTTACCATCAGCTTAAAAATGCATATGTGGGAACAGCAGGTGGTGAGGTGGTGAAGGCGCTGGACTGCCACCTGGCCAACCACAGTTCAAGCCCTGGGCCTAGAGGCTTTTTTTCTCCTCACTCTCTC